CAAAACATCACTTTCCTGTCCTTGGATGCAATGCCACAGACATAGGAATATATTTAAATTACTTGCACTTGCAAATATCTGGTTATGACATCATGTAATTAAATTAAGTCTCATTTCACTCCACAGTTGGAGCTGCACACTTGTCTTAATAACCTCTCTGTTAACTATTGATGACAACTTCAATTTTTCTCTTTTTAGTGTGCTTGACTTCAATTAAATGACTCTGTCCAATTTTAAATAAGTGATACTGATGTCTCCTTTCACCTAGTTCTATCTGCTATGTGAAGATTATACCGAACGTTCATGAGATTATCACTTTAATATTTTCTCACCAAGAAAAAATGCCACGGCCATTCAAATTATGAATTTTGTAGTTAATAGAGCCTCACAAAAGTTCACATTTGCCTTATGGTAAGAATTCCTTCAAGAATGCCATTCTATTTGAATCATAGTGGGGACAATCTATGCAGAGTCTTCAACAACTATATGACAGACATTTGAGTAATATGTTTCCTAAGCTATCTGAAGTGCAACATAATGACTGAATGCAAAGCAAAAAATTGAAGATAGTAAGAGCTTAGGTATATACCGTAAAGTATTTATTATGATAAGGCATTCAGCCTAATTATCAAATATTATGATCAATGTCCCTGAAATGTGAAGAAGCATAGTTGCTTTTCCAATGCTCAAGTATAAATTGATTGAATGGCTCACTCCCCTTTTTTATTGGCTATATGTTCTCAGGATATTTCTGCATAGGATGTAGATAAGTTCAAATACATTTACTGTGCATTAATTAATCTATAATAATCTTATCTTCTCAGAATCATTCATATGATTCAGAACAAAACATTGTATGCAGGTATCACTGAAATGTTATTGTTATCCTGTTTTCAATTTACATATCCTCTGCTTATGTGAAAATAGACTTGATTATTAAGGAAAGGGCTTATTAAAATGTATTCAGTGACTTTGAATGTATGTCAAAATGTATTTAACATATCTAACAACATGGTATCATTCAAAAACGGTACAAAGCTATCATTCTGCCTTTTGATTCTTAAGATGCAATGCATAGCCAAGGGATGCTTGATCTTCAGAGCCCAAAGGATTACCTGAAGTGCCTCCAGTTGTCTGTGTGCCTTGAACCACCAAAAAAATAATTTCTCTGGGTGCTGGAATAAAGAGCATGGAAGCGCATTAGTCACACACTTTTCCAGAGCCATAGTCCTTACATTTCATCATTAATACCTGCTTGTTGCTATGGAAACTATTAAGACAGGAAAAGGGAACTGAATGTCTTCAACAGGATGGATATAGTGTTGCTTCATGACACCATATTGATTTTTGCCATGCAAAATTGCAGAGAATTACACTATGCTTATATTGTTCTTGTTTTCATGGATGCCCTTTGTGACTGGAAGACTGTTGACCTTGAATTTTAGCCTGTTTATGTAAACAGAGGAGCAATATATCTGAATGGAAATAGGTGATTGTGAAAAAAAAATGAGCTTATGTACAGATAACTAAGAATTAACATAGAATATGAACCTCCATGCCTAGTTGGTCCACAAATGGTATAATGGAATAACTTTGTTCTGGTGTCATCTTTTCTTTATGAAGATTAAATTTAAAAAGACACAGACATGTCACCACTTACACTCTTTCTTTTTCTTCCTTTAAAACAGTGGTCACCAACTGGTGGGCTGCGGCCCACTGGTGGGCCATGAGAAAATTTTGGTGGTCTGCAGAGAAATCTCACCCCCAGAGCAACCCCACAAAGCAATTAATCCAGGCTGCGCAGAAACACAAGGCTGCCAAGCCCACATGGCCCACGGGAAGCCCCACCCGCCCACTCACTCCTTACCCAGCAAACTTGCCTGCTAAATTGCTATTTTTCCTTTTTTCGACCATCAGCTGTTCTGCTGTGCTGGGAGATTTAGATTAGCTAGGAAGCAGGAAATGGTTGGATTTCTTGCTTTCTAGCTAGTCTTTAGATCTTCAGCTCTGCTTTTAAGCATAGCCGAACCTCCCTTAGGACTGTAGGTTCTATTATTCAGTGCAGACTCATGGCAAGCAAATTTGAGAGACTGAGCTAGCCGATGGCAGATAGATAGATCACTGAATGATTCTGTGAGCAACTCAATCTGCCTGCCTGCTTTGCCTGACTTGGGGTAAAAGTTGCTCTTTTTATTAAAAAAAATCAATATTTATATAAATATTTATAATATTTACATACAAGCCATGCCCAGCCAGTCACATGACCAGCAAGCCACACCCACAGGCCATGCCCACAGAACCGGTTAGTGGTCCCTGGGATTTAAACTTATGAGTGTGGTGGTCCCTGAGGTCCAAAAGGTTGACGACACCTGCTAACATCAAACAAATGCCTAATGTGACATCCCCGATGACTGGTTATCAAAAGGTAACAGGAGGAAACATGAAATACCAGCAGACTTCACATATTGTGCTAATTTATGTACAGGATTTAATGATCTAACTGAGTCAAAAACTCACAGCCTAAGGCTCCACAGGAGCTCCGTTTGAGTTGCTCAAGTCATTTAAAAGTTTGCCAGCAAATAATAAATTTTAAAATGACAGAACAGAAAAGTTATAGACGGATAGTCCTCCTGTATACTGAATTTAATCATTCGTGTAAGTTTAATTACATTTATGCAAATTACACTAAACAGTCTATTGTTTTGTTACAACTAGTCAACTGAATCGAGATTTCTTTTAGTGTGGCCCCCAACATATCATCCAAAGTCCAAAGAAAATGCTTTCCCCTCCACCTCTCCTCTACAATGGCAGGCTGCATTAAACATAAGCTATCCCCGAAGCAAACAATTACCTTATGACTTGAGCCCTGCTTAGAGATTCACACAATTTCATAGAGTGCTCAAATACAGCCAGAATAAGAGCATGCATGCTGGCTTGCCTCTTTGTTGTGTTCACCAACTTCTGAAAAGAAGCTGTGCTTGTCTTGAATGCATCTACTGCTTCCAGCACACTTCAGAAAGCGGCTTCATTTGGGTCGTAGTTCACATGTAAAACTGTATGCCCATTCAGGACAATGCAAGTAAGGCCATGTGAACAATCTCATTGCTTACCCTGTTTAAGCCCTCTGCATCTTCAGGCAAATACTTGAGTAGGGCTTTAGTATATGCAATGGTACGTAGGAATGACCTTGGGAGATGAGGTGGGAGTAAGGTGGAGAAAGATGTTCCTAGGGAACAGTCAGGTAAAAGAGAGCATAGCTCACAGCTGCATAACAGACAGAGAAAGAAACTCAAAAAGGAACCTCCCTAGCTTCTCAGCCTGTAAAAGAAGCGGCAGGAAATTTGTACTTCAGTATCAGACTCGCAAGATTCTGTACTGTTACAATGAAGTAGAATTAGCTTACTTGTTTCCTGTCTGATCTATCCGGGAAGGCTGACAGTATGTTACGTGTCAAACCTGATCAACTGTTCTGTTATTGTACTTTCGAGCGAGAGTGAAACTATTGATTGAACAAGGACTTAGTTATGTTTGGAACTGTATAGTAATAAACGGTGCAAGCATCCTTGCCTGTGCTTGATGTCTCTGCTTGATTACATGTCACAATGCAACTTCAGGGAAAAAAGACTCATCTTATTCATTCCGTGGGATAAATATTCCCTTTAATATAACCTTTAGGCAGGACTAACAGTTTTACTGAATCAGCTTAAAGATCTGTCTCAGCCTGCTAGTGGCCAAAGATTTTGAGATTTACCATTCTCATAATCTTCAATTAACAAATTTTGAGCGTGGTACTTCTAAAATGTCTGGAGGACATGGGAAAGAATCATTGCCTAGAGCAGTTAGCCAAGTATTTATGATAAGCCCATAATATCACACTTGCCAACTGTCCCAAGTGAATGATATCCACAACTAGGGTTGGGTCATTTTAACAGAAAATTTCAATTTGGGAACCTCTGCAAGAAATTTCCAGGCTAGGACCCTCTCTCATACTCTTCCCCAACCTCCCCCTCCACCTAGCAGAAGAGAAGAAGTAGAAAGGACATTGTAGCCCCAATGGAAGCTTCTATTTATCTACATAGTTTAGAAACATGCTGCTGTGACCACTTGGCATGTCCCTTCCAATTTTGTGGGAAGGGTCTTCCCACAGTCTTCTCAGGTGGTTGCTAACAGTTATATATAACTGTATATAGTTATAACTCCTATAGGAGGTCTCACATGGGAAATCTAACAGGGGCTACAAAGAGCGGTGTAGTTTGCTAGTAGTTAAGCAAGCAGGGCCATCTTTGGGAAGTCTTCAGAGTCAATTAACTCAACAGGTTGATTTATTTACACCTTTTTATCTGAAATGATGAATGGAAGTAGTCTTTTGCTTATTAAAAAAGAGTACAGGATTTTATGCTGAAAGCCAATTTAGGAGGCATAAAGTTACAGGCAGTCCTTGAGTTATGACCACAATTGGGATTGGGATTGTGGTCAGTAAGTGATGTGGTCATAAAGTGCAATGTCACACGAGCGCGTTGCTTAGTGATAGCAATCCAGGCCATTCCTTCAGCTTAACCCCAATACACATGGGTTGTTAAGAGAGAAGGGAAGGGAGGGAAGGGAGGGAAGTGAAGGGAGCGCAGGGTGCCACAGGCAGGTGGGAGAGGTTCTAGAAAGTCCATTGCAGGCCATGCACTAATGGGGAGGGGTGCTGAAATGCCACACGAATTCAGGAGACCGTGGAAAGAGCACATGGGCTGTGTGTCTGAGACGCAGGGGGGCTAAGAAAGAGGGCACTGGTAAATACATGCCTGTTGTGCGAGCACAGAGAGGCCAAGGAGAGAAGGATGCTGGTGGGTGCATGCTTGTGTATGAGGAAGGGAGCCATGGAAGAAGGGCACTGGTAGAGGCAAGTGAGCGAAGAGGGAAGAAAGGCACGGTGCGAGTGATTGAGACATTTACCTGAGCAAACTGTGACCTTCTCTTGCAGCTTCCCCATTGACTTTGCTTGTGAGAAGCCAGCACATTGACCACGTGAGGTAGTGCAACAGCTAGAAATTCAAGAACAGGTCATAAGTTTCTTCAATGTCACTGTAACTTCAATCATAGAACAAATGGTCTGTTGATGAAGATTCCCAGTCATTGGGTAGAGTTATCTGGAAGATGAGTCATGGCCATTGAACTCCTTTTTCTTTTTGGTTTGAAACATTTCACTGTTTATCCAAGTAGCTTCTTCAGCCTGGGCAAATTGTTAGGAGGACCCCATATACTGTATGTCCTTCAGGGTGGCTTCATTTCTCACACACCTATTCAGATAAGATGAGAAATGAAACCATCCTGGAGGACATATATGAGGTTGTTCCTAACCAAGTTGCCTAGACTGAAAAAGCAACTTGGGTAAACAGAGAAACATTTCAAACCAAAAAGAAAATGAAGTCCAGTTGTCATGACTCAACCTGCAGTGAACAAATGGTTATTACTGGAGAACTACCGTAATAGAAAATATTATTTATTTCAAACTTAACAAATCCCAGATATAATATATAGAATCATTTTTTAAATCATATGTTATATTTTTTAAATAACTGCTCATACGCTCAACTCCTTGCTTAGCCAAAATAAGATTTATTTTCAAAATTGTACTGCTGCACTCTGCCAATCAGCTTTCCAAGTAAAAACACTGTGAAACAATAATTCTTTCTATTCTGTGGAGGGCAGGGAATTTTTAAATCATTCAGAAAAGGAAGCATATTTGCCTTTGAAAAATATCTGCTTATGCCTTCTTAAAGTCAAGTGGTGGAATTCATAATCTAAAGGGGCACAAGGATATTTTCAGGCAGAGGATATAAAATCATTTAAAATATTTCAGGGTACAATACTGATGAGTTTTTGGCCAAATTCTCACAATAGAATGATAGTGTAGTAAAAGGAAAACTACTTGTTCAGATTGTTGTTTTTCTGCAGCACAATTGACCATTTGCAGTGAATGACTAGTTTCAGTAAAGCAATAGGCAGGCCATTTTCTGAGAATAACTAGCTAAAAAGATGCATGTAAAAGACACATAAAGGCTAGAAAGTCACCTTATTGACTGTATTGGTCTGGGCTTCAGGACAAATTACTCCCATGTGGAAAAGGTTGCTTCAATTCCACTCATTATTTAGATGTTTTTGTTTTGAGCTAAGGAAAAGACTACAGTACTTCCACAGTGGTGAACGTTGCTTCTGCCCCAGTTAGCTGATTTTTTTTAATGTGTTTCAGTTTGAATTTAAGGAAGACAGAAAATGGATTGGATGACAGAAAAGGCCTTTTAAAAAAAAATCAAGAAGATTCTCCATTTGGTCTTAGAGAGCAGAGGGGCTCTATCGATATAAGCAATCTCTAAGTCTTCCCACTCACTAGAGAACAGCCTAATGCTGGGATCGATTGAGGGAAAAACAAGGGGGTAACAGACAATGAGGTGGCGGGATGGAGTCACTGAAGCAGTCTGTGTGAGCTTAAGTGGACTTCAGGAGGTGGTAGAGGACAGGAAGGCCTGGAGGAACATTGTCCATGGGGTCGCGATGGGTCAGACACAACTTCATGACTAACAACAACAAAAACAAGTCTTCCCCCTTTTATTTGCTTCTTTCTGTTTGCTTTTTAAAAAGAGAAACAACAGTTTTTCTCCTTATAACTAGAGAAGATTGCAACACCAAAAAAAAAATAAAGAAATAAACCTCCATATCATTTTGCTCTCATCTGTTAAGGAAAGAACTCTTCTTATTTGGGCGGAAACTGTTAGTAACCCCTCTCTAAAAATAATAATTAAAAGTGAAAACAAACTTTTAAAAGAAATAATAAAAATCATTAATAAAGAATGATGCCCCCACCACTTTGGGGAGTGAAATCTTCAGTATGCCACACAAACTCTAGTGTGAGCATTGAGTCAGAAGAAGTTGCCTATCCTTAATATTATGGAATTGAGCTATCAAATATTTTAAAAATCAAAACCAAGACTTCAAAACTATATTTAGAAATAAATGGGAATGCAGCCCAAGTAGGATAGTTCTAATATGATGTTAGAGTTGACCACCAGAATATTTCTCTACTGCTTCATTGTAGAAAAAAAATCTATAGACATAATCCCAGTTAGAATATATTGTAATAACAAATTCAGACAAATATAAAAATTACATCATCGTGGATAAAGCTGTCTACTGTGCATGCAGATATGTCCAGAAGTACCTTCAAATGGAAGTTCTACTCTTTCCAAAACAAATTTTTATATTGCCATCTATTTCCTGACCCCATCCATCTTCTCTAAATTCAGTCTCATTTATTGCCTCTTGTACAGTCCATTACCATCTTCAGGCATATTTTCAGAACATCAACAGCTTCCCCTGTAAGACATGATAGGGGAAAAAAAGAAATAGACTTGTCCAAATCTGCTTATTAGTTGCTTCCTCCCCAAAGTTCCATGTACATGTTAAATAAATCAAGTTATTATGAATCCCATAAGCCTATCACCAGGAGATTGGATCTCTTAACATCCATCCCACTTGGAAATTGATCTTGGGGGAAAAACTGGAAACATTATAAGATAATATCTGCAAAGTTTATTTCACCCAGATGGAAATTGTGATCACTAGTATTGAATACCACCTAGAGATCCAAGGGAATCAATCACTACATTATTGTATTTAAATAAGGCAGCCAAGAATAATAGAAGAACTTTATTGTCATTGTACAAGTACAACAAAACTGTGGATGCACCCCGGCAACTGTTCACAATACAATAAAACCAAAGCACTTAAAAATGAAGATAAGAAAAATAGAGTACCCTCATCTCCATTTGCAATTAGAGAGTACAATATCAACGAATATACACAAAATATACATTCAACACTGACTGTAATGCTTAGCCGAGTATAATACACAAGAGATGGATTGTACTGTAATATGTTATTATACATCTGAATGGGGTATTGAGATTTCATATCTTAATAAGGTAGTGACTTTGTGTTTATTTGCGGTTCAGATGGCCCAGGGAAAGAAACTATTTGTTAGTCTAGTGGTGTGGAATTTTATTGACCTAAAATGCCATCCAGATGGCAGCAGGTCAAAAAGATAATTGCCAGGGTATGAGGGGTCTTCTATGATGGCCTTGATTCAGCTTTGGCAGCGGGACCTGGCTAAGTCCCTCCAGGGAGAGCAGAGGGCAACCAATGATCTTTTGAGCTGTGTTTATCACCCTCTATACAGTTTTCCTGTCCTCAGCTGAGGAGCCTGCATACCACACACCCAGACAGTATGTCAGAGTGCTCTATACAGAGCTTAACAGCTTCTTATCCAGATTGTTTTTCCTGAGAACCCACAGGAAGTGCAGCCGCTGCTGAGCCTTCTTCACTATGGCCTTGGTGTTAGGGAACCAAGAGATATCAGCTGAAATATGGATGCCAAGGAATCTGATCGTAGGGACAGTTTCCACTCGTTCTCTGTTGACGATGAGTGGGGCATGGTCCTGTCCATGTTTCCTGAAGTCCATAATCTTTGGTTTTATGGACATTCAGTGACAGATTGTTCTGTGAACACCAGATAGTCAGGTTCTCTACTTCTGCCCTATATGCTGTCTCATCCTCTCCAGAGATGAGACCAATCACGGTCGTGTCATCCGCAAACTTTATGATGGTGTTTGTTGCATGGCTTGGTGAGCAGTTAAAGGTGTACACGGCATATAGCAGGGGCCTCAAGACACAGCCCTGGGGGGAACCAGTACTGAGTGTAATAGTGGAAGAAAGGTGGGGGCCAAGTCTAACAGACTGTGGTCTGTTTGTCAAAAAGTTCTTAATCCAGGAGCACGTGGGGGTGGGGTCCTGGAGATTATACAGTTACTAGTATATCTGGGATGATAGTGCTAAACGCAGGGCTATAGTCCACAAAGAGCATCCTCACATAGCTCTGTTTGTTCTCCAGATGACTCAGCGCTCTATGAAGCGTGATGGCCACAGCATCCTCTGTAGATCGGTTTGCTCTATAAGCAAACTGATGCTGATCAAAGGAGGGCCAGAGGCAGTCTCTGATGTGCTGTGAAACTAGTCACTCAAAAACCTTCATAATGGAGCTTGTTAATGCTATGGGCCTATAGTCATTGAGAGTGTTTATATTTGTTTTTTGGGGAACGGGGATGATGGTTGCAGCCTTTGGACATTGTGGGATGATGGCATGTGTTAAAGATAGATTGAACAGCTCTGTAAGTATTTCTGCCAACTGGTCAGCACACACTTTAACTACTGCACCAGGAATGCCATCAGGCCCTGCAGCTTTCCTGGGATTTACTGCTCTCAGTGTTTTTCTCACCTCATGCACCTGAAGAGAGAGAGGTGCAGCATCGTGGTCCTTGTGAGGCAGTATGTCCAGGTTCTTGGTGGTCTCAAAGCGTGCAAAAAAGCTGTTTAGCTCCTCTGCCAGAGTGCTACTGCTCTCGCTGTTTGTTGGGCCCTGGCCTTTATAGTTGGTCAGGGCCTGTATCCCCCTCCACATCTGCCATGGGTCACTGTCAGTAAAGTGGCCCTTGACCTTCCTCCTATACATCTCCTTAGCATGTTTGATGGCCCTTCTCAGCTCAGCTCTGACAGTGCTGTACTGTGAGGTGTCACCTGCTCTAAAAGCCAGGTCACGGGCCCTGATCAGAGTCTGGGCTTCACTGGTCTTCCAGGGTTTCCTGTTTGGGAAGGTTCGTATGCGTTTGTCCACAGTGACATTTTCTACACAGGTCTTCATGTAGAAAAGCACAGTCTCTGTGTATAACTCAAAGTCCTGCTGTTTGAAGATGCTCCAATCTGTGCAGGCAAAACAGTCCTGAAGCTGAGAGAGGGCATTTTCAGGCAAACATCTAATAGTTTGACTGCTAGGTTTTGTTCTCTTCCTAAGGGGAGTGTAGGCTGGTAGTAAAAGCAGGGTGAAATGGTCTGATTGTCCTAAGTGGGGAAGAGGTTTTGCTTTATAAGTATGCTTAATATTTGAATACACATGATCAAGTGTGTTTTTCCCCCTGGTTGGGCACTTAACATGTTGGTAAAGTTTGGGGAGCACAGTTTTCAGGCATGCTCTGTTGAAATCCCCAGCAATGATGTGAACGCCCTCAAACACGTCATGGAATTCTTCCATCAGGTCTTTTTCCCAGTCAGTCATGGTGGTGGTGTTGATTCCTGTCATCTTGATCCCGAGCGGTTCGAACCATTCTAAACCGAGCAGGCTGGGCCGATCTCTGTCAACGATGGTTAATGGCAGGATCTTGGTGTGCCTTTTAAAACTTACTTTGAATTGTCCTAGCCCTACTACCGATATTTTGTTACCCTGGTAGTCCTTGATGATTAAGCTTTGCTTCTCAAGTTCTCTGCGTTGTATATCGGGAATTAAGCTTTTTATTGTGTTCCATGACACCATTGATAAATACGAACCGTCTCGCACGGCTCGCCTTCAATCAGGACGTTGATTCTAACCTTCTTAGTGTTTGTTGTTCTGGCCATCCCAATTGTGATAGTTTGGTGCGTTTTTTCCTTTTCATCTTTCTGTTGACCTTTTCCATCACGGTTCCAACAGCTTCCGGTTGTCCTTTCTTTGTTTCTGGAGGGGGTACTGCCCTGTCCCCTTGAATTATAGCTCTTTTTGTTTCGGCATACCCTTGCGATGTGTCCCCGTTTTTCACAATGCCGGCAGGTGGCATCCAGGAATTGACACTCAGATCTCGGGTGGTTTCCGCCGCAACCCGCACATTGGAATTAGGATCTTCTGCTTCGTCTCTCTCTCTGGTTCCTTTCTGAATAGAGTCTGTTCACTTCCTCGTTTTTGTCATCTGAATCAGTTGATGATTCAATGTCCTCATGGTGAGAGGACGTGGCAGTGTGCTTTTGGGTTCCCTCTGTCTTCTTCTCTTTGTTTGTGCTCGGGCTGCCCGCCATATTCATCTGCTTCATTTTTGCTGCAGATTTCTTTGCGGCTTCAGCGGCAGTTGCTTCAGCAATGGCTTCGTTGACGGTGATGTTTGGTCGGTTTAGTAGTTTGCTCTGTGAAGTTGCATCTCTTAGTCCAAGGACTAAGCGATCCCTCATGGCTTCGTCCATGTTGAGGAATTCGCATGCCCCCCCAATGTCTCTTAATGCTGCTACAAAGTCTCCAATGCTCTCACCTTCTAGTTGGTCGTGCTTGTAAAACTCGTGTCTTCTAATTAGGTTGGATACGGCCGGTGCGTAATGGTTCCTCAACATCCAATTCAGGTCTGGCCATGCCATCTGTTTAACATCATTTGGTCTTGCTAACACTTTGGTCATTTTAAAAACAGTCGGACCGCAATGCGTTAGGAATACGGCTCTCTTCCTTTGGTCGGTGATTCCTTGCAGCTCGTTGCTTTCTAAAAACATCAGGACTCTGTCAATGTACGACTCCCAGTCTTCTTCAGCTGGGTTGAATGATGCAGGTGGTGAATTGTTGCCGGCCATCTCGTTGGTCCTTCGGCTGTTGTTGCCACATGATTACGGTCTTTGTCTCTTTTATCCCACCCTCGTTGCCAGTGTTCTGTCACCAGTAAAGAGACTCGCAGACCGGAGTTGAATTCAGCTCTTTAATAATAACAGTAACTTCTTTATAGCGGCTGCTCCATGGCTCGCAACCAATGACATTTAGTTAAACTTCCCGCCACTATTGGTGACCAATTGGGTACTAATGTTACTAACTAATTGTATCATTGCTTCTGTTAACCAATAGGAACATCGCCCTAGAAGTCTCTATTTAAATACACTACAGATGGTAACTACTGTTAGCTCCCGTGGCAGATAAAACGGTCTACACTGAACAGTCATGGCCTCTAAATCTGGTGAGCAATGGCTGTTATCTCTTAACAATATAACACCAGTAGTGAAGCTCCTGATATCCTGATGACAGATCTTACCATGTTCTCTAACTCCTGCTTCATTTTCCTATTACTTTTAGAGTCCTCATTTATGACTATGCCCTTGTTTTTGTTGAGTTATTATATTAATATCTTTCTTCTGAGAGCTCAAGCCAGCACATTTCATTCTCATGTCATCACTGTGAATTAGGCAAGGTTGAGGGATGGTGACATTGAACCAGACACTAAGTTCTATGGCAAAATGGGATTTGAACAATGGTGGGATTCAAATTTTTTGCTACCGGTTCTGTGGGAGTGGTTTGGTGGGTATGGCAGGGGAAGGATACTGCAAAATCTCCATTCCCTCCGCACCCCATTAACCTGCTTTCCAGCTCCGTTCTCCTGTGCAGGGTAACAAAAGAAGACCCAGCTGATCAGCTGGGACTTGGGAGGCAGAGAAGAGATGGGGATGGGACCAGTCAGAGGTGGTATTTGCCGGTTCTCCGAACTACTCAAAATTTCCGCTACCGGTTCTCCAGAACTGGTCAGAACCTGCTGAATACCACCTCTGGATTTGAACCTGAATCTTCCTGGTCTCTATTTCTTTAATCTGCTAAAGTTTCCTTATTGTCTTTAAAACACATAAATGGTTCTTATGTAAATAAATACTTCAAGAAATATCCAAGTGCAAAATTAATAGAGATGCATTTTTAATAACTGCAACCAACTATGTAAGTACTAGTTTCTGAAGATTCATCAAAAGTTATGTGAAAACACTGCAAGATCTATGGGCTATTAAGTATGCTGTTAAGTAATATAGGCTATATTTTGTTTTTGTTAGTTTGGTTTTATGGTTGAAGCATTGATAATTCTTAAAAACTGTTTTTTTTAAATAGTCATTTATAATGCAGAGTATTATTCTAATGTTTTGAATTGCAAAAGTTATGTTTAGTGGTAAGACTAAACTTTCTGGTTTTCCTTCAGGAATTCTTTTTTCCAGAGCTATTCAACTATTATTTTCAAGACTAAGAATGCTGATACTTCAGAAAAATCCAGCCTTAAAGCTGAAAGTAAGTCAGCTGCAATTATTTTTCCTACTGTTTCAGCAGAACATATATGTTTATCTAGAGACTTTTCCTAGACTGGGCTCATTATGATGGAGATTAAACTGTATTATATATGGAAAACATTCGAGTAGTCCCATAATATTTAAACTAAGCCTGTTCTTGTCCCAGTACATCCTCTATAATGATCCAAGTGATTATCTAAGGATACATTCAGATAAGAAGGATAAATGGTGCAGCAGTTAAGGCACTAATCTAAAAAATGGGAGACTGAATTCCCACTTTAGGTAAGAAAACTGGGTGAGTCATGGCCAGTCATGCTTTATCAATCCAATTCACTTCACAAGGTTGTTGTTATGAAACTAGGAGGAGGAATGAAAATTAGGTAGATTTGCCAAGTTAAATTATTTATAAAAATAATAAAGGTGGCATATAAATCTACCAGTCAATCAATTTTATACTTTCAACTGGGGAGTTACAATCCATTGTTTGTTATCTTTTGCGGAATAGGGAATTATTCATTGTATATAAACAGAAGTGCAGACTTTTCAAAGAATATGTGGAAATCCATTTTTAGAGCAGATGTGCCATGACTATCATAAAAACTTGCCAAGAAGCAAAAAGTAGAAAATAATTTAATTTTCTTTTTGAATAGAGCTGTTATGGGTGAATGCTCACATGCTGCAAAACCTAATACTAATTATCAGCTACAAATGATCCGTCTGACTCTTTCTCTCTCTTTTATAAATTGCATACAAGCATTGTGGGCAAGAGAACCAACTTACTTTCCTGCAAATAATGACACCCCCTCCCCTTGCCTTTTAAAGATATTGGCTGTTGGTTTCAGGTTATTTCATCTATCCTATGACATATATTAGAAGCCAGTTCTATCAGAAGTTCAGTGTAGGCACTTTAAATATTTTTTCTGTCCTTAACATTTGTGGGATGTGTTTGTATGCAAAGATTTGTGAGGTCTTCAAAAAAGGAGCTAAGAAAAGCCTACTGCTGATTCAGAGAATGTGGTCTTTAAAAAAGCAAAGTATATGAAGATCAAATTAATCCAGTGCTCTGTCCTCAACCATTGTCCATAACATAAAATGGCCAATAGGATAGTTTTCCCAAATAAGATCCCCTGGAGGTGATAACAAGGAGATAGAATAGAGGCAAACCACCAGAGCAGATCAATACCTTGTTAAATAAATGATAATGACATCTTATTTATAATTTTAGCTGGTAATTTATCATCTATTCTAACTTCCCTGTTTGACAGCAGCAACTATCAATCTGAAAGTTGGAAAGTAATAAGGAGATGAGTATCTTGTTCGATGTCACAAAGAGATGCTGAAAGAATTAATAGCTGGTGTGGTCCCTCTGCTGCATGCAAGGCAACCAAGAAGTTAAGAAAAGGATATGATTTGGGTGGTAAGCATCGCAGAAGAGGGCAGATAGAATTATGTAAGAAGAAGAACAAGAAATCAAGGAGACAAATGACAGATTCATTCATTCAATATATTTCTTTTTTTTAATCACTAAACTAATGATAAAGTAAAGTAAAGTAACTGCTGGGATTTTTTTTTAATTTTATGTTGTCCCTTTCTATCTCAGCTAGAACCAATTAAGCAGCACCTCACAGGAAAAGAAAAGATACGGCATGTCAAAGACTACAATTTGAGAGTATTTCACTCTTC